GACTCATTCCAGGAGATTAAAAAAATTCTCACTGGGTTTTACGGAGATTCTGATTCAGCAAATCTTGGGTGTGGTATAGGAATCTGTTTCTAACAAAAATTTGGATAACTGTGATACAGGTGGTCCATGCACTAGTTTCTGAGGAACTGATAAGCTAAATCAGGGTTGATTTATTCCCCGAGGATAATAGCAGTCATCCTAATAATATTATCATTTTAAATTAGTAGTTATTTTAGTGTTCTGAGAATACATCTCAGTTCATAAGATTTCTGAAGAACATTTTTCTAAACTTTGGAAATATTTTGAGGAAATGACTGGATCAAATGAAGTCCTATAAAGCTTGCCACAAGTTTTTTGCTCTTAGGGGATAAGAGTCATAGCTATCGCTTCCTATGGCTGTGTTTCTGTTTTTCTCCAGCTCCCCAAGTGTTGAAATGGGAAGAAAAGGAGGTTAGGGTACATCAAATCAAAGATAGTGGAATGTCACTGGGAATGATATTGACCCAGAAAATAGCAGGAATGGGGTGCAGAGGAGTGTTACGAGCTAGATAGGGAAGTCCTTAGAGAAAGCAGGGAACTAGGCAATTTTTAGTTTTGAAGGCAGCTTATGGAATAGCAGTCGGGATGCATCAATGGGAACCAGTTTTGTCCCTAGACGTTGAGGTTCTGAGGAACTGGGAGAATGACTCATCTCTGCTGGGGAGGGGGGTGGGGAGAAATATTGTTGCCAGTGGGATCCAGTGGCTAAGACAGAAGGATGCCAAAGAAAGGTACCGGATTTCTCCCAACGCCTTTGTTATTGGTCAGCAGAAAGTTCCTCAAAAAATGAAATATTGGGTGCTGATTTCACTGGGTATAAGAACAAAGAATAAACAATACTTTGAGTGAGAATGTGACAACCTCACGGATTGCACAACACAAATATGGGCAAAAAAAATGTTTAGGAGTCACTTTTTCTTGGGAAGATCGGTGGATGAGAGAACACACACTTCAGAGCAGGAGGTTAAAGGTGGGGCACTTAGGGGCCAGCCACGCGAGGTCAATGAGTGATGATGGCTAGGTGAGAGCATGAACAATGAGAGGGCTCTGGCTTCTCTAACTGGGCCAACCTCGATTCTGCCCAGCTATTTTCAGGTGGGCATGTAGGATACAGGGTAACAGAAATTTCTTATTATTGATGAAAGGAATCCCAACTTTAAAATGTTGGAAACTAATTTAAATATTAAATAAAATGCATTGCAGTCCAAACCAATTGTATCTGTGGCCAGATCTGGCCTGTAGACTGCTGTGCGCAGTCTAAGCTTTGGAGTCAAAGGGGACCTTGGCAGGAAGTTGGCTCTGGGACTTGTCATTAAGGCTCTCTGACTCTCAGTTTTCTCATTCATAAAATGATGGGTGGAATAATACCCAACTTTCATTTTCTTTGATAAGGATTAAACATACTCTTCACGTCATTAAGTGAATGTATGTAAAATATTTTGTTAGTGTGTGCTATTTAGTAAGTGCTCAGTAATGGCCCTCATACTGACCAGAGTCATGCATTTTTTCAACATTACTTCTGCAAACTTAATACACAAATAAGTCATCTTAGAAATGTAAAAAATTGCTGTGTCCACAGATATACTTTAGGTTAAGCTGTGACTACTAACATAGAAAAGGAATGTGGCTTAGAGCGCTTCCCTCAATTGCCCTGCACTAGTGATCCATTCATCTTATACAGCCTGAAAGTCATAAGGTAGAAATATATGCATTATACACTAAGAGAAGCTGTAGATGGACCTTTCAACAACAGTATCAAAAACACCTATGACAGTAACTCTTTCTATGTAGTGCTCTGCTAGAAACAGTGCAAAGTGAATTAACAGACACAGTTCTTTCCTCTCAGAACTAAGACATATTTCAGGGACAACAGAAATTTTTTTTGTTCATATGAAGGATATAACAAATGAACAAATTAATGAAGCAAGGAAAAAGTAGGCATGGAATGCCTTCATTTATTGGTATGAGAAGAATCTGATGCAAGTCACATCAGGGGAAAATAATTTTGCCTTTTTCCATTGATCAGAGAGCTCATGAAGTATGAAATTTCAAAATTGAATAATCTAAAGAGATTCCTTGGTGAGTTAACATGAAGTGAGTGTCCAGATATATAGAGAGGAGAGTTTTTCAAATATAGTGTAGACTTGAGCAGAGGCTTAGAGATGGGGGAAAAAAAATGATTGCTTACATGGATTTGAATAAATTTGCCTGGAAGGATATGATCTTGCTGAAGAATTAAGATGTGAGTGACTAGGCAATTCTGCAAACTAAATGATGTGAGACAACACCCTTCTGTTGAACTCAGGCTTGGTCTTTCTCAGGTAGGGGGTTCCCCAGACCTAGGAAACATCTGTCCTCTTCTAGCTGAGCACTTACTTATTTTGACTTTTGTTCATGGTGTTTTCAGTTTAAGTCAACCTGCTGCTCTATTCTTTTCCAGAATCTTCCTGAATCATGTTAGGGTTATGTAACAACCATAGTTAGTACTGGGATGAGAACTCAGTAAAAAGAGACCATGCATAATTGCTTAGTTTCTAACAGTAGAGATGGAGCTTTCATGTTGACTGACTTGCTGAGCCATGACCATCTTCAGTGGCCATCGAATGCCAGTGTGGGGAAAATTGGCCCAACTCTCTCCCTCCTGGACTATATTCCCTTTGATCTTGCTTACGCCTGTAGCTGCCTGCACTTTCTTGTCAAAATGATAGTTTGTTTTCATTAGGCTAAATTTGCTCCAGGGACTTTTTTCCTCTTTTTAAAAACATTGTGTCTCATGATCAATAGGGGATTAAAAAAAAATGGGGGAGGGGGCCTAATGGCTAACAAAATCTTTGAAACCGTCAGTTTAACTTAGCAGGAATGAAGGGATAAGCTGATTTGAACTGCAATAACTCCCTAGTTGAATTCATATGCGCACATGCATTTATATCCACATTTTTGTTAAAAAAGTTTCAAGATGCCAATATGTATTTCTTGCCTTTAGCTGTTATGAATACACGTATTGATAAAACAAAAGTAAATATGTAAGTTTATAATATTCTGAGAAGAGAGTTTGGTAGTGGCATTTGCTGCTCGGGTTCACCCTGCCGCCTTACTTTTTGACCAGCTGAGTCTCTTTAGGTAAGTTACTCAAGCAAACTCTGCTTTCGCTTCCTTTATTATATATGGGTGGAGTTGTGGTGGTGGTGGTGCTAATGGACCTAACTTACCTATTTCATTTATCTCTCCTGAATTATTCCACTTTGCAGACCAACTCACCATCACCTTTGTGATTTCTGCCTGTGTACAAACCCAGGTATGAGTGTCACTGCCCCTTTGGACAGTCAAAATTTCATGGATTTAGACTCCCAAAGGCAAGTGCCCAGATCTAGACTTATCTTCCAGATGTCCAATGTTCCCATTTTAACATTAGCAGATTATAGGTATCGTTTACAGTCCTCTAATTCAACCCTGAGGATCCTGTTTGTCCTTTTAGGCTGCAGTAACATGCTGAGTAGGCCCCTTCACTCTTATTCTCCTGTCTGGAACTACTATTAGAGTAACAAGCTGGCAATTAAATCCAAAACTACAGTTATTTAACCTGGTAAACTAGTTATAGATATGCATTATTGATGTGGCCATGACCAGAAACAGCCATAAATTTCAATGGAAAGGTATACACAGGGCACCCAACTTCCTGATTTTCTCACATATGTGTTCGAAATTATTCATTCAGGCAATGGAAACGTGAGGCCACTTGCTCAATTTTCCAACTTCATGGTCTATAAAATATTATCTAGCAATTTAAGAACTACTTGGACACCAATTATAATTAAAAAGAGGAAAGAAGTCTCATACTTTATTCTTGAATAATTATTCTTCAAAAAGGTGTTATCTTCTAAAATATATAGCACTTAGCTGAAGGGAATATATAAGCAGATGCAGAGAATTTTAAATTTTAGAGTTCCCTTTGAAAAGATCACTTCCCGAGTGAGTAGAACTTGGAATGAGCAGGCTGGGAATACAGCAAACATCTCCCTCAGGTGAGTTCTTATTTGGTCTCTTGGAGCATGGCCTATGGTTACACAGGCTTGGTGGAAAGGGTCAGGAAAGGAGCATACATAGAAAAAGGTGTAGAACAGCTTTGATAGACAGCATTGTGCATCATTTTCTTCCTCTCATCCCTCTTCAGTTCCACCAATGCCAAATCATCATATATAGCTATATATTTAATTGTTATATATATAACATATATATAACTGTTATACATATGTAATATATATTATATATAACAATTGGAATCTTTTATTATATATATATATATATATATATATATATATATATATATATAGAGAGAGAGAGAGAGAGAGAGAGAGAGAGAGAGAGAGAGAGATTCCACCCTCTAAAGTGCATAACAAATGTTAATAAGAGAGATAGGAGCCTTGTTTACATTTTTTTCTTTCCAAAATTATGAAAAGAAGTTTTTGTTTGTTTGTTTGCTCCTTATGTGGTTTAGGAATAACGCTGAGAAAAATGCCTCTGTCCTTTACAGCAGATCCCATCTAAAACTATTTTGTATAGTTTAGGAATAAAATTTTATGCTTCTTGGCATATTTTCTATTCTCTCTCTCTCTCTCTCTCTCTCTCTCTCTTGATCATTTCAATGTCTCTAAGTTACTAGGAATTCACTTTACATGATATAGGAAAATTTAATTTATACAATTGAGGTTACTCTAGAGTACAACTTCTTAAAAACAGAAAGCACACCTTAAGAGTATGGTTCTAGAGGTAAGAGTGAATGGAGTGGAAATGCAGTAACCCATTGGTTTAGAAGGTTTAATACTTAAGATCTGGTAGCCGGTTGCCTCTATCCACGCAATAGGAGACACAGATGGGATAGGGCAGGTATGTGTAAAGAATGAAGCAATTCATGAATACTCAGCCATGAAATGAAAAAATCAAAATGAAACAAGTATGACTGTAACTATCTTGGTTTATTAATATTCAAATATTAATACTTTCTTTTCTTTTAGAGACATTACTGAATATTTACTGATGAGCATAAAATGATAGCTTGGGAAAAGGAACATGTTCAAGAAATGTATTTACACAGGGTTTGAATGATATGTGATTTGCTTAACTCAGTTGACCAGTTAAATGAGTTTCCAACCCAGATGTGTCTTCTACTTTAGGGTCCCTTGGAAAAAAATTCTAAAATGCATTGCAACTTTTCACAGGGGTGACACATGGTCCTATTTTCTGAAGATTTTGATTCCAATATTTGAAGGCAGTGGTATTTGACTTTGTTAGTACAGAATATTTAAACTTAAAAAGAAAATACCTTAATTTGTTTATGCATAAGCCTATTAAAAATGTTTCTAGGGGCTCTTGTTATGTTTATTCTTTAGAACATAACCTATCTTTGAAGTGGTGTATTAGTTTTTAAGAAGTCATTCCCAAGCTGAATAATTAGACTGAAAACAGAAGCTATTCTTTGAGTACATTCAACATATAAAGCTATGCATATGATGCTTTGATTCAAATAATATTCTTGTAAAACTTTGCTATTGTTTGAGGTCTATATTCAGAATGGCAACTTTTGTTTTTGATGATTATTCCATCCCCAAATAACCTCCCCCTCCCCCCACCCAATTAAACCAGAATTAGGAGCATATTTATATCTGATGTGGCTTAAGCTTCTCAACCGCCTGCTTCAGAAGCAAAGACCTTTAGTGGTTGTTTTCATTTTGACTTTGCATAGAAGGCTCAGAAGACAACAGAATCAATTCCCTTAAATTTTTCTGGAAGAGGAAAGTTGCTTTTGTTGCTTTGATCTTAGCATTTTTTTATTGGCTGTACATTTTTTTATTGGCTATTGAATATAAAAAGCCATAGCCTCATCTGTTTTTTCTGCTATATTCTCATATTGTAAATCACATAATGTCTTCCCATCTAAAGTAAAATGCCTAGGTCCAAAATATCATTTCAAAATTGATTTATCATCACAGTTGATAGAAAGATGTCCAGGATGTTAGAAAACTATCCAAACTTTGATTAATATGCCACAGACTGCTAAAAATATATCCGTGCATTTTAGACAAGGAATTCCAGGATGAAGACATTCACTCATGCTATTTTAGATGCCTTTTCCTATCATCGCAAGGGGCTGTTGTAGCTAATGTAGCAGCTGGCTAGGTTATTGCTTCTATAACATAATCCATAATGCACAAGCAGCTCTTTTCCAAACATTCTAGAGCAACTCAAGTTGTTTACATGTCTCCGTTAGGTAATTTTGCTATAACTTTGTGCCAATTGGTGTCATACTATTTGGTAAAAGTCTTCATTAAATCAAGACAACTGCACTTAGTTAAATTTCTCTCCTACAGAGAATTATAGGAAAATTATAGCTAGCTGATTCGAGGCTATCATCATGAAGTAAAATACAGGGCTTTAGAAAATGAATGCAAACTACAAAAATGGAGTTGTATAATTAAACATCAAATAGTCCAAGTAATAAAAGTCATAGATTAATTGTCTCTCAGTTCTAGTCAGATCCTTTAAATACTGTCTCACGACCTGAGCATTGGTTCTTTCATCAGAAGAGTGCCTATCCTTGAAGTTTGGAAATTTCAGCTCTTTTGGAGCACCAATCATCTGTAAAAAGTAATTGGCATCTTCTTCCAAAGTCTCAAATTTTCCGACAAAATCATAGTTGATCAAACATGGATAGCAGAGTTTGCTGACCTTTTCCCAGTGAATGTCCATTCCTACTGGACGGTGGGAATCCAGCAAATAGTGGACGAACTCTTTGAATGTGACTCCAGATCCATTATTTAATGCCTCTTCACAGGCATTTGGCCGATATTTCTTTATAATTGCCTTTCCAAATACTGGATGGTAATAACTATTGGGGTGTTCAAATTTGTCCCTAAATGCTGACACTAATCTTTCCATGGGATCACGAACAAACACAGCTTTGGTGTAGGTATTCAAACGCGTATATATCCCTTTTAAGTCAAAGCTATCTAGTTTTTTCAAATGCTTCCCATAGTGAACAGCATCATGAGAGATATTGTATGCAGAGGGAGCCAATCCATTTAATACCATCAGAATTCTTTTCCAGTTGGAACAGCCAGCCTTTGGTACTTCACAATATAAGATTTTGTGTTTATCTTCTACATAGATCCTGGATACCATATGAAAAAGATGTGACTGAGGATGACTCACCCCACCATATTTCTTGCAAAACTCCTGAAGGAAAGACCTGCGTTTCTCTTGGGTTTCATCAGTTCTCCTCCATTTGTTGTCTTTGACTAAACTTTTGTTTAAAGGGTGAATGTCCAATGGCCAATTCATTTCTCTGAACTTCTTGAAAAGGGTCTTAGTTCCTTGATGTTTTTCAATCAACTTAAAGGTGGGTGACCCTGTGGTCTTACCCAAAGCTAGACTCTCTATCTGTGAGTGACTGGTCTCTGTTAAGACCCTAGTGGGCCTCTCAGAGTTAAGCAGACTTTCCTTTGTTTTCTTGGGATCCTCAGACATGTGGTACTTGGGGTTCTGTTAAAATAGAGAAGGAGAAATGTTGAAAGCACACTCACAAATGTGGGTATATTAACAAGGAACTTAACATATTTGTTTTAAAATACAATTGAGGGGAGCACATTTCATATAAGCTGCCAGGACAATTTACCAAAGCATGCCAAATATACATTTTATAATAAGCTTCTTCACAGAAAACATCACAATGAAAAATGGTATCTATGTATCACATAGATACCATTTTGGACCAAAGCTTCACATTATAGATGATCTATATTTGGGTTACCTATACGGTATTATTCATTTAATGTTAATGTGCTGCATTAAACTAATAGATTTTCTCATGCTAAATTATTTGAACATTATTGGGATAAAACTATTAATTGATTTGAATCTATGTTCATAGTAAGTTTGTTATTGTTTTTGTAGTACCTTTTCATCTATGGTTGTCAATTATATAACCTTACAAAATGCAAAAAAAGAAAAAGAAAAAAGGTATCCAGAAGATGGAAATGAAAGGGTCCTTAATTTTCATCTGAGCTCTGCCTGTTACACAATAGAAGATAGCTCAATCATTCTGTAGGTCAATGATTGTTGAGTTATTAAGCAGTGTGTTACTTTCTAGCACTGATTTAGTCAGTCCATCTGAGTATAGATACAATGTAGCTGTGTTCAGATGGAAATTTATGTTATTGTTTTGGGGGGCATTCTGTAATGCTCAGAAGAGTTCAAAGTTATAAATTACAACTTAAAATTGTGGCCAGGTTAATTATAAAACCCTGATGACCATTTCCATGTTCCAGGTATTTGCAAAAAGTATTTTCAGCCCCCTGAAAAATGTTTTATTTTTATAAATCCGTTTATCACAATAATTTAAGAACTATAGTCATACTATCATATAATTTCATTCATGTGTGAGACCTTCCCTCTTCCCTAAGTGGAGAATGACTAGGGAATCCAGAAAAGTCTACTTGATGTCCCTGCTTTATAAAATTGTATCTAAAGTAGAATTAGAACTTAGTTCTCTTGTCAGCAGGTTGCGTCTGCCCATCTACCATCTACGTGTCATCTGACTACATCCTTTCTACAACTCTCACAGTGACTGGGTAAAGGAAGACATGGAAGAAGGGATTTACAAGGTGGCATCTTCTGATAGGGACTAAAATTTTAATGACTTGGCCTTCTACTCTTGCTAGACTTGGAGCCTTTGGAGGGCTCTGAGTAGGGAAGTAACATGATCTCACTGAACCTGGAAAAGGATGACTGAGGAGAAGACTGGCCTGGAGATATACATATAGGGTTATCAGTATGTTATTGGAAAAACGTGCTGTGGGAGTAATGCGTGGGACCACCAGCCTATAGGTGGGGAAAGCTTCCTAGAAGAAACGTGTATATGGAGAGGTAGATAGGTATATAGATATAGATATAGATATAGATACAGATACAGATATAAATATAGATACATAGATACATTACCATTGTATCCCCAAGTGTCCAGAATGGTCTATAACCTATAGCAATTGCTCTAGAATATTTGTTCAATGAACAAATGAAAGAATGAATGCAATTAGGTATTCAAAGATGATTAAGAATTTTCTAGCAAATTGAGCAAAAGAGCAGAGGAATGAAAGACAGTGGATGGGAGCCACCTCCAGGCATCATGGTCCTTTCAATAGCTGCGCTTTAAGGGAAGGTGCGTCTTTCTAGCCCAAGAAGATTATGTGAGTAACCCCTCATCACCATACACCGACTTGCGTAATTCCATAAAAAACAGCTGCCGTTTTCAATCTTCAACTCTAACCATTTGTCTGCTGTCTTCTTAGAGATTGCCGGGATGACTTCAACACTCTGAATCCCTCTTTACTCATAGTGCATAAATTTTTCACAAGTAATATAAAATTTGGCTTGATGTTTGAAAACTCATGGGGTTATTGGTAGGCTGCATGGGAAGTACTCAGCCTAAGCCTGAAATAAAACTGCCACTATTTCTGCCGCTATTTCTTCAACTACTATAACTATAAATAATAATTGCTAATATTGTTTTAACAGTAGTAGTATTTTATCCTAGTGACCTAGTGAATTTCATGGTTCCCCAGTTTTCATTATTATCCAGACTATAATTTGTGTGTCCCTAAAAAACCCTAATTAGTTCTCTCCTTGCCCCACTAACAAAAACAAAAACAAAAACAAAATCAGCCTTCCACTGTGCCCTCTGAACCTTCTGCTTGTGGTCATCAAATTCCCCTTTATCTCCAGGGATTTCTGGAATGTGTGTTTCCCATGACTTTCTCTAAATGAAACCTGGCCAGTCCCCAAGACTCTGCTTCCCTTGCAATTTCTTAAGTAAACGAAACTTCATGAATTTGAATCACTTGTCCCTCAGGTGGGCGGAGAGGAGGCTCTCCCTTTGTACTCCATGGCTGCTTCCAGGACATTTTCCCTGGCGAAACCTCCTGCCTCTGTGAACTACACGTGCCCTGCTGAACCTCCTTGACCCCTTCTCACGCTGTCATCTGCTTTTACCCTTGGTCTTGCCACTTTATGCTCAGACTTTGCTTCTTCATCCTCACTCTTGCCAGTATGTATGTGTAGTGACTCTCACACCCAAAGAATTCTCAGTTCCTTGACCACCTCACCTTGACTAGAGGTGTTCTCTATTTCACATCGACCTTGCCCTTGCCAGAGCCTGCACCACCTCCATCCTGTCTCTGACCACCATCATCTAGCCTTCCAGCTCAGTGTTCCTTCCAGGTCTGCAACTCTGTGACCACTTTTTACTATATTATCTAAGCTCTTAGCAGCCAGCATGCCCGTTCTTTTTGCTTTAGCGCTTAGAAAGTCACTTCTTTAAGCAGCTGGTTCCTCTCTCCTGGTCTAAATTATCTTTCCTTCTGAGATTTTCTCCCACAAACCCTGCTTATTATCCTCATAGCACTTATCGCAATGTGAAATAATTTTATTTTGATGTTATCGTTTCCCACCCCGTTCCACCTCTTTTGCACTAGAATGTGCCTGCAGAGAGGTCTTATCTTTCTTGTTTTCTGCTGGATCTCTGGGACTCAGCACAGTGCCCAGCACGGAGCAAATGATCAATAAATAACTGTTGAATGAGCACGTGTTATTAGAATGTAATGATGGGCTTCCACGCCAATGTTTCATGACCTTGTTGAAGAAACACAGTGTTAATCAAAAGGTCAAGGTTAACAGATAAATACTTCACCAATTCTTGTTAAGGTGATGAAAATACCTGTATTCAAACAAACCTTTGGCAGAAGAAAAAACAAATAAAGTAGGCACACGAAGAGTTGCTTGTGCTAAAGTAGGCGTGGCCGGTTTGGAGCCTTACCTGCCTGCCAAATCAGATTGGTTCAAAGTCATTCAGTGCTGCCTCAGAACGGCTTGAGGCTTGCCAGCAATCTGAGCTCCAGGCCTCACTGCAGGGCACCAGGAAGCAGAGTCTCTGGGGTGGGGCTCCTGACTCTAATTTAACCAAACTCCCTAGGTGCTCCCCAGGCAGTAACGGCATTTGGGGACCACTGAACTAGAGTACAGCAAAGGAAGGTAAAAAATCAAGAGTTCATCTCATACCATCTAGGAGAGAAAGACACCAAATATGCGGGGCGTGAATATTTCAGTAAGCAGAGACTAATGCTCTGTTGTAGGCAGGGATGCCCCATTAGCCTTCACACAGACCACAGGAAATACTCTTCATAGTCATCCATTCCCTTTGCTGGAAGTCCACATTCCCCAAGCCACTTTCTATGACTAGCTCAGCTAGAGAGATAACTGCATGAGGGAAAGTTTCATTGCTCATAAATTAGACTTCAATCTCCTGTTTGTTTAGTTAGCACAAGTCAGCTTCCTAAGTTTTGACCAAATCAAGATATGGGCAAAGTGTTAATTCTAAGTAACACACCCAATGAGGCTTTTTTTTTTTTTGGATGTCCATTAGACCTTTTCCCAGTAACCCCTTAACTCACCATCGCTCGCCTTATAAAAACCACTATTAGGATGTGGTGACGTTTCTCCCCACCCACAGCCCAATGCCATTTCCTTTCAATCACAGAGACAGCTTTCCATGAATGAGGGGTTTGGGCAACTGAAATCAAGCTTAATTAACAGTGGTTTAAATCTGAGGCTTATACTTATGAGTTTCCATCATCATCATCATCATCATCGTATCAAGAACAACAATAATAAAAAAAATAAACTCTTACATCTCCATTTTCCTTTAGGGTACTTCATTCTGATTGTCCCTAAAGTAAATGTAGGTTAAGCCAAACTTGTCCTTTTCCTTCCAAAAGTGGCTCTTCACCACTCTTCTATTTCTGAGAAGGTTCTATTACATTCCAGTCACCCCCCTCATGAAATCAAAGAGATGCTTTAACAATCAGAAAGTACACTGGTTAATTTGCATCTCATAACATCTTTTTAAAAAATCTTATTTATTTCTTAATTAGATATTCTTAAGTATGCTCCTAATTAGTCTCCCTGAAAATTATTACCAAATTAGTCTTCCTAACACATTTTATTTTTTATCACTTAAAAGTTGGAACTGGCTCAACTATATATAAACACTAAAGTCTCAATTCTTTAGCTGGCATTGGCAGCCTGTCACCCTGGGGCCTCCTTTCACTTTATGTTCTGCTCCTGTCCTGACATGTTCTCTGTCCTCTACTTGCTTCCATCAGGCTCTCAGCAACCCCCACCGATGTTCTTCCTCTTTCTTGGGACTTTGCAAATATCCTAGGCTGATAGAAAATGAAAATCACCCAGGTCTTCAGCGAGGAATTCCACTCTCTATGAAACAACTTTAGCACTTAGTCCATACCACTTGTAAGTAAAGTAATTCCATTCCAGCTTACATTGTTATTTGATTTTCTTACTGCAGAAACTCTTTCAGCTGTTTAGCTAAATTGTACACTATGGCAGAAAGCTATAGTTTTCCATAGATGCCTTTAAAGAGTGGATATTATGGCAAAGTTAGTCAAAAGATATGTAACTGGAGATGAAAAAAA